AAACTGGAAACAAAACGCAGTGTTGTATAGTAACAAAGTAAAAATACTTCACTACTGTACTTAAGTATATTTTGGAGTACTTTATACTTTCCAAGAGTATACATTTTTTTTGAGAACTTTCACTTTTACTTCACTACATTTACAAACTTAATTGCATACTTTTACTCCTATACATTTTCAGTGTTTGGTTTAGTTACTAAGTAAAAAAATAAATAAAAAAAACCGAGCAAGAGAAATGCAAGTGTTTTGACCCCACCTACTGACTACAAAGTCTGGTCTTGCCTGTTCTTGTTCATCAACACCAATAGAATAAGTCTTTTTCACAAAGTCAGTCTAAGTTTATCCTACACTTGGTTGTGTATATTATTTTAAGCAAATTTAACCTTCAAAGTTTACCAAAATGTAAAAAAATGTCATTCAAACTGCACTTACTTTTTACTTATACTTTTCACTACATTACTTGAGTACATCTATTTTTACAGTGATTCTTATACTTACCGGTAAGTACAAGCCATTTCAGATACTTTAAGACTTTTACTCAAGTAACATTTCAGTCAGTAACTTGGACTTTTACCAAAGTCATATTTTGGAGAGGTACTTATACTTTTACTTGACTCCGAGATTTCAGTACTTTATACAACACTGCCAAAAGGAGGCTGGGAGCCAATGAATAGTTTTTTAGAATCGGCGTAATATGATTCCTTCTGTTTTTACGAGTCATTAACCTCGCCGTAGAGTTCTGCACCTGCTAAAGACGAGACAACTCGTTTTTGTTTAGACACGAGAATAGACTGTTACAGTAGTCTAAACTGGAAGACATAAAGGCATGGATAATCATTTCAAGATCATATCTGGACACAATTGTTCTAAGTATAGAGATTATTTCCTCAGTTGGTGAAAACTGTTAAAATATATATATATATATATATCAGACAATAATGTTTCTCTACATTTTATTCATTAACATATTTATGCAATGCATGCAACTATATGACTGGCAACTTTCACCTTTGTATAGACTGTCAAAGATTGTCTAATTTTATATTCATTGATATTTCATATATATCATCAACTACATATTCATATCTAACCCAGTGAATTCTTTCAAACTGGCTAAAAGCCTGGCATATTAATGGATGCTTTGTTAAACACATTATTTAAAAGCAACATCCAGAACATTTATAGATCTAGAATCAACCTCATTGGTTTGCAGTTTTTAGTGAAACCTACCAAATCTGTTCACAGTTAATTCATTAAGAAGATGCATGTCATCATGGCCTGCCCAAGGCAAACCTATCACAGCCAGGTTTAATGATTTTCTTCAGAAGTTGCTGCTCAGATCTAGGTATTACAATAACCCCAGGTAGAGATTGCTGTAGATGCAAGTCAGAAAATTACTGGAAATTTCTAATTGAATAATGTAAGGTGTTTTCGCATCCATTTCATCTGTTGAAAAACAAAAATAAACATGTTTATGCACCTAAATTATATACATTGTACATACATGCCCCCATTGTGGGGTAATAAAGGGATTTTCTATTCTATTCTTTTTTATATCACTATTAACTAGTTTAAAAACAAAGTTTAATAATTTCAGATAAATAATTTATACTGGAAACTTTCATTACATTCTATTTATGCAAAAGAAGACAAAGGCAGGAAAAAAATATAATTAGATGTAGCTGTAAATATATTTTTTTAATTCCAAATGCTATTCTTTGTAAGTATATAAAACCTTAATTTGTCTTGTGTAAATTGAAGGTTTCTTTTGAACCCAAGGGCAATAAGAGATCCTAAGGAGATGCAAAGTTTCTTGCTTCCTAAGGCTGGCTTAACATATAAAAATGCGTCCTTTAGATTCGGAAAAACAGTGACACACACAGTAACATACAAACAGAAGCAACCATTCTAAGCTTTATTTTTTGCGTCAAATAATTTATTTGTACCCTAAACACAAAACATGTCTCAACTTTAGTGTAAATGTCAGCCTTCTCTTTTTTACTGTATTCAAAATAAAAAATAAAAATCATAATCATAGGGGCAAACACACACAATGCAGCTGCATCATATTAATGTGAATATATTTAACAAATGTGGTAACAGTTACAAAACACCCATGTCATACTGTATGTAGGCCACAAAAACACCCTTATCATGACTGTTCTGTAAACTAAACAGGTAACGTCTCATAGGATTCAATAAAATGCTAATTAAATGCAAATAAATCATGCTACTATATATAAACAATATGAAGAAGAACTAAGATTCATATAGAAAGAAATTCAAGGATGTTTAACAGAGAGGGAATTAACTTTCAAATGTATAATTAATTCCTCATTGAAGAAGATAGTTTTGAGAAATGCCCAAGCCTGATCTTCAGAACTCCAGTTTTTGCAAGAGACAGAAAGTAGACCCATAGCTGAGGATTTCTGCATTACTCTGTGCATGGCAAAGGAGCTCTGACAGGCACCTACGATTTAGAGCACAGGGATTTTTCAAGTGAGAAGATCTTGTAAGCTATGTGGTACTTGACATGCAGCCAGTGGGTATTTATGAGAGAGGAGGTGATATGTTGGTAAGGCTTAGTAGACTAACAGGTGAGCTTTAGACATACTGGAGACTAGCCAGGCCTCTATTGGAAGTCCTCATGAGGACTTAACTGCAGTAATCCAGCAAAGGCAAGGATCAGCCCTAAACTGGGTTCAGTAAGAGCTAATTTACTGTAAGGAGCAGTCAAAGTGTTTCTCAGGTGGGATAGGTATACTTCTGTGAAGGATATTAAGTTAGCCTGGAATAAAAGTTCAGAATTTCACAGGGACTTCAAACATCCTTGTTCCTCTAGATGCCTCAAATACCACGGTAAATAATCTGGACATAAGTACTCTGGAGTAGGGCTTAGAGGTCCACATCCAGGTCGTGTTGGAGGACATGTTAGGAAGTGGGGTATCAGTGTGAAGAACTTGGTATTAATAAATATTTGAGTGTCATCCGCAAAAATACAAGCCTGTGGTAGGAGATGACAAACCTCTTGGTTTATGGTATTCACACCAAGCAAAGCACCATGTTTTTATCAGTTTCAAAAATTTGTTTTGGTGGTTAAGGTTTTGGCCAAGCCGGGACTGCTTAATGGCAGATTATACTTCTGCAACCGCACACATCAAATGTCACTTGGGTCTGGTCGCGAACCAGTTTTGCTGGTATGCTTCTGCACCGTCGGTCTGGAATTTCTAAGGACGCACAGAAGTTTCCTGGCAAAGCGCTAGGGGGAGCCTATTAGAGAACTCGCGAGAACTTCGATTTGGCAGAGACCTTGGCATTTATATATAAATTGTCTGAGGGATTGTACAGGTAATTTTACTTCCGAACCTCCTCGAATTAACCTTTCGTCATAGTTGTCCTTTGTAGTGGCTCCTCGGTTTTTTAAAAATGGCATGCCCCGGCACCGTATTAAAAAGGACAACCACACAGACAGCCGGAAAGGCATACCAAGGACCAATCACAGCTGGTTTTTGTCTGTGCACTTCTGCTTGAGCTCTGCACGGGTTTGCGACATGTAGTCAGGATTTTGTTGAAGAGCGCAACGACGGTTGCAGAACCTCTGGGGGCGTGGTTGCGCAGATTTGATGGTTGCAGAGGCCATGCGCCAGAAGCATAAATTGGCCTTTAAAATGCTTACATGGCAAAAATTGGAATAAAGTTGGTGATATTGGAGATCCGGGGAAAGTGTAACAATAGAAATAAACAAACACATCTATGCATTAGGTATAAAGGTTTAAAGGGTGGTCTTAGACTTCCCCGTGCAGAGTGATCCATGACTCTGGGGTGTTTGAATGGATACTAAAAGCTGGATAAACTGGCTCCTTAAACACAGTCTTAAAGGTGTGAAGGTGTTCCCTGCGAGGTCTGATGGAATGGAAAGACAGAGTTCCTCCTTCATAGTCAAGCGCAACCTCAATCTTAATTGGATGTTGGAGAGTCTCTCCCAGTGAAGCATTGCTTGACGAAGAGCACACAGTAAGCTTGCCATTTTTCCACTGAAGTCTCCAGGATACTGCGTTGTGGCCCAAGCGACTGTGGTCTCCACGGCGAGGGATGCTCTTGTAGCATGCACCAAGGGACCACATGCAGTTAACACCCATTTCTACCATCCAGATATGAGTGCCTCCTGAAAAACCCTGGCTGCAAAGGATCTGAGGCGCACTCATGAAACGTTCTGGGTGCTCAATGTAGGCCTGCTTGGTGTTGCTGTATCGGACTGTTCGCAGGTCGTTGGACACCAACAAGCTGCCGTGGGCAGTGCAGACATTAAACGTGACCTCCAGCGGGTTGAGCAGGATATGGAGAGTGTCAAGGAGACGGACCATTTCTGTACGGAAGTCGTTGGTTTTGAGGCCTGTTTGGAGACGCTTGGCGTTCAGGGCAACCTTTGAAGGAATGGAGCTGGAAATATTGCTTGTGACGACATCTCTCAACTTTTGTTCAATCATCATAAATCTGGAGAGAAAAGAAGAAAAACTGCTTTAAATTTTTCTATAATGCAAAAAGAAATATGCATCAGGCCTTCACACATGAGAATTTGAATTTTCATACAAATGGAATTTTTAGATCACCATTTTTCTGCAGTTACTGTACATTTTTGGGTTTTTCTCCACTAACGTTGCAAATCAAGAAACTAGAATCATGATGGTTCTTTGTAGCTGACGGTAACAGAGACAGGATTGCATCCACAAACCACAATTTTCAAGCTTGGATTGATTAAAAACATGCTAATGCTGTACTGATTGCCTTTCTTAATGCAGCCAGAAAGCAAACCTCTGTTTTAAGTTGTCTGTCTAACATGATTGAACTGCATTTACCATCCATCTTCCTATAAACCCTTATAAGTCTCTAGGTCACTGCTACAGAAACACATTCCTACCTCATGATTCGGCCACCACCATTTTTCATGATGTTGATAATGTTTTCACTGTGACGTAGAGGGTTACTGTTCTTCCATATAAGATTTTTTTTTAATCTATAAAAGCTAGATCTCTCACTTTGGGTCTGCGGTCATTTAAGTGTCTAGTAATTACTTTAACCAGGCCAAAAGGTCTTCTTTTAGTCTCGTCTGATAAGAGTACCATCTTTCACATAGTTGCCATGGTTTTAACCTGGTTTGTGGTTAATGCATCTGATGACATTCTTCATGCTACTTTTCTATGCATGCTTTTAAATGCATAATTAATAGTTTTACTGATAGAAGTTGAACTTTGTTGATCTCACAATGGAGAAATTAACCCTCTGCATTTAACCCATCCCCTTTGGGGAGCAGTGGGCTGCCATTGTGTGGCGACCGGGATCAGTGTGGGGTTCAGTTCAATTCAATTCAGTTTATTTATACAGGGCCAATTCACAGCACGTCATCTTAAGGCACTTTAAAGTTTACCAGATCATACAGTCAAATTGATTCAAAATTTTTCTATCAAAGGAAAACCAGTTGATTGCATCGACTCATTGACTCGAAGGCAATCCCACAAGGGTTAAGGGTTTTGCTCAGGAACCCAGTGTGCAGGCTGTGAGGATTGAACTGGGTACTTGCAACCTTCTCTGAGCACAATGCACTGCACTAACCACTGGGCCAACACTCCCCAGTTAACAGATTCACTCCTAATTTAGTAGCATCTAAGGATATTAGATTAAGATTACAAAATACATATGCATTACACACTTTCCAGAATGTTATGAATAAAGATTTTGTTACACCTACTCTTGCATCAAAATAGTTTCCCAAAAAATCAAAAAATTGCCAGAGTAGTCTTAGGAGGAGGTTTTTCGACTCACAAAACAAAAAGCACTCGTGGAGAATTTTCTTGTTTCAAAAAGGGGTGTTTTCTTTACTTATAAATAATAAAAGAAATATTCTCAGAGTTGACTTACAAAAAAATTCAAATATAAATGTTAAGTGATGAGTGTGAAAAAACTGTTGCACTCCTCACTCCTTCAAACAAACAATCACATCCACCTCATCAGCTGCTTCTACTTGTTAATCTCAGCAGGAGGCGGACTGACAAGGTGGAGGGTCAAAGAAAAACCAATACATAAACAAATAAACAGTAGCTCTACCATTCACACAGCCTTAGATCTTTAAGATTAATAATTTAGCAAACAATAAATTAATTAATTTAATTCTTAATAGGCTGAAGGTTTTAAACCTAATTTACAGTAGAACACTTTGTATTGGTCCATTGTACAGAATCCATATAAAACACACAAAGGCAGTATATGACAAATTTTACAGGTGTGAGTAGCAGAAATGCTGTTGCAAAGCGGTATGTGAATGAATTCATGAAAAGTAGGAATGCCTTTGTTTTTTGTTTTTTTTTACCTGTGTATAAAGGTGAAAGAGTCTTTCTCACTGAGGGCCTCATTTGCACTTCTCTGAGCCTCCAGCAGCTGCTGCTGCTGCTCTTCCAGGGCACTCACTCCAACCTGCCAGCTTTTGCGGCGCTGACATCTCTCCTCCTCCAGCAGCATACGAAGCCGCTCCCTGTACCTGAAGACATTACATTTCAATTCATGTCATCAATATGTTATTATTGTCACCTGGGATCAGTATCTTATGAGGAAGCCTGGCATGCTCTTCAGTTTTACACTAAATTATTAAATATACTGTTGTTACTTTACCAGCTGGTGCTACATATATGTAGGTTCTCTGATTAAATACTAAATTAAACTATCAGATGAATGAAATAACAAGTTTTAGGTGCAAACAAAAGTGAAGTGGACAGCTAAACTGCACACGTCATTGTGATAAGCATGAAGTGCCAAAATGGGTGTGCACCTTATCTGTCAAAGCCTAACCTGCTTTTCAAGTTATTACCGGTAAGTAAAGCATACATATTCTTACCGTAAGTGCTATGAAACGGTAGCTTTTTAAAGATTACACCATTGCTTTCAGTTTACAATAACATTAAGACCATATTCCCATAAAACAACTAACATGGAACCACTGTCTTAAAATGTTCCAGGTCCTTTCTTGAAATTTTGACCTTGGTCTCTTAATTAAGTCATTGTTATGCTTCTTTGTCCTGGAAATTGTGGTATTGTTACTTTAATCTGTAAACCGCCTGCTAATCTGCATGGATGAAGATTACCAAGGCTGCAGTTGACCATTTTGCTTTACTTAGACGATCATGTTTAGTAGTGAATAGGTTAATAAGTAATTTCTATCAGCAGTTGTACTGTAGATCAGGGCTTTGCTAAAAATAACTGACTTAAACCTAAACTCTCCAGTTTTTCCTGTCTACAGACAAGCTATTTAATCTCTTGCACCACAGCTCTCTCATATTGGAAGTTATAAAAGCGGCAGCTTAAACCTGCCATAAACATTTAAACCTTAGAAAACAGTAAGATTTGTTTTGAATCTAGACGGGGTTACTGTGTATATATACTCTATGTATGGTCTACTGTATAAGAGCATTAAAGTCAATGCTATTTCTGACATTTTGAATTGAAAAAGCTTCCTGGATGGGAAGCGAAACGTCTTCAAGCTTGAAAAACAAAGTCCAGTGGATTGTTTTTTTTTTTTTTTTTTTTTTTTACTTTTTTGGAAGTTTGGAAATATATCAGTTAAATCTACGTCTACAATCCAAACTTTGGTGAAGAACTTTTCATTCAGGAAACAACAGACAATCAGATAAGCTGATGATGAATACCAATCACACTTGCTAATGAGCATGAATATATTTTAATACCATTAAAAAAATACATTCATGCTTCTGTTAACTATATTAATGATATAAGAATGAGAGAGAAGCTCCTGGGAGACTCTTGCTGACTAGTTCTGAATGGGGAGTGCTGTGACTCAGCAGAGTGTAACTGGACTCTGCCTTTGAGTGATTTATGAATCATACAACTTAATTTCTTTTAATGTTGTACTATTTTATTTTGCAGATTAGTTGATGATTTTTCTAGCAACTTTCTCAAATGCAAAAATAGTTTTTGCAAGAGAAATCTCATAAAGAAATCTTAGATCAACAATGATATCGGAGGGAAGGCCTGCAGTTCTTAAATATTGGGGTCTGTGGGAATGTTTGAGTTTGATATCGGCATGTAGGCAAACACTTTATGTCAGCGAATTTGAATTTCCAAAATATTGGGCAGTAAAATGGAAGGATATGACCGTTTATTCTGAAAGTCTAGTGGTAGATTGACAAAAATAAGTCATGTTGCATCACAGTGCCCATTTTGTTACAGGCACTTTGCTCAAAGTTTTTTGGCAAAGAGTAAAGTTTAATTAAGCATCACCATTGAAACTTCCGGTTTATGCATTTATAGACTATTTAAACAGCCAATATTTTCAAATTGCATGTATAGTGTCTTACCTGTCCACTATTGCAGCCATGCTATCCATAAGTGAGACCGCCTTGTTGACCATTTTCTCCCCGACAGCCTCGGAGGCTCCCTGATCCTCCGTTGTCTTCTGCAGGAGGCATTCTGTCAGCTGCAGTCGACTGCTAACCACCTGCAGACATGCATGTACAGACTGACATTTACTTTGTCGGAATGGAAATATATTCTTGTAAAACAAATAGATGCAAATTTGTTACAGTGCATAAAAAAAAGAGGAAAACAGAGGTGTTGTTAAATGAATAAAGGTAAATAAAGGTATTATCTCTGAGTCAGTCATGCAGAACTGAGAACTGTCACAAGCAATCACAATGTTCCCATCTTTTTCATTGTTCTCGGTCATCTATCACAAAACACCAAGCAAACTACATTCCCATCAGTAAAGTTTTAAGGACTTCATAGAGGTCACGTTTCATTTTCTCTTGATATTCTTGTCATTCAAGCTCAGCAACCTTTTGACAAGCCAGTCTATCAGAATCCAGCAAGTCATCGGCAATTTACTTATTTATCAGTGTAGAATTCTTTCCTACAAAAACTTGTGTTTTAATCACAGGAATTAGGCGACAGAACACTTTTAACACTTAGCAAACTGGAAAAAATCTAAATCTAGATAAGTCATTTTTTTCTTAAAATAAGTGTATTTGATCTTGGATTGAGGACATAAAAGAGATATTTTTATTTTATTGAATAAGACTATTAACACTTGAAATAAGAAAACACAAATGCATTATCTTAGTTCAAGTGCATATTATCTGATTATCTTATTTTAAGAGGAAAAATACTCATTCCATTGCCAAACTATCTAATTTACCTACTCAAATTAAGGATAAATACACTTAATTTAAATTTCTAGATCGTTTTTCCAGTGCATTCTCCTTTATTGTTCGTTTAATTTCCAATAGTAATCAAATGTTATGCAAATGTCGAAATGATTGCATCCAAAACACAAGAGCCTACCTTGTTGCGGCTCTCCAGGGCTCTTCTCATCTCTTCCTCTGCCACGCTGAAGGTGAGGACATCATGGTTCTGGTGATGGCCTTCTATGAAGCATGTGGCACACAGAGACATCATCTCATTGGAACAAAAGTACTCAAGTGGAAGATTATGAACCGGGCAGGCCTTCATCCCAAACTCTTTCAGAGGATCCACCAGAGAGTGGGACTTGAACGCCTCCTTCTCGTTGTGTTTCTGGAGGTGCCTGGAGCACAGCGACACCTCACACTTCAGGCAGGTCTTCACCGCTGGAGACTGATGATCTATGCAGTGGTCACAGACGATGGTATCATCCTCCACCACCGGTTCAGTTATGTCCCGGATTTCTTCATAAATGTTCTGGGAGTTTGACGAGGCTTGGAAACCCTCAACAATGTTTGAGAGTTTGAAATTTCTCTGCAGGGAATTAACGCCCTCGTAGATCTCGCGACACTCCGGGCATCGCAGAGGTTCTTTGCTGCCGCCTGTGGAGTTAGCTGACTTCAAGATACAAGCTTGGCAATAGTTGTGCCCACAGGGGAGAACAAGCGGATCCCTGTAGAGCTGAAGACAGATGGGACAGCTCAGCTCCTGGGTAAGCTGCTCCTCTTGTTTTGATAAAAACATATTGAAAGTTTAAGAAATTTGTTGGTTTCTCCCTTTGTTTTAGTTTCTTTCTCCCCTCTCTTCAGTCTTCTTTGCAAAAGGTATCCAGCCAGTTGAGGTACTAGCACCTCGTCATTATCTCTCGTCAATCAAGTCTACAGGTGCAGACGGATTAAAGGCAAGAGAGGAACATGACTGCCTACTCTTATAGAAGAGTAGGAGGATCGAAATGTGTTTGCAGGACAACATTCCATTCTAAGAGGAGAGGCACCGTTGGCCTTTGCTGCTTGGAAAGGAACACCAGCATAGTGGCTTCTGTTGATAGAAAAACATGTGACCAAGATCCTCAGAATTTTTTTCCAAAAAGAAAAGTCAGGAAACCACCAGGGAATTTCACAAAGAAGCAAGGAAAGATAAATCCAGCTTTAGGGAAGGCCTTTGCTAGATCCACCTCCACTGGCTTAATTTATGAGACATCAAATAAACACTGAATTTACTTGGAGATATTTTGAAAACTTTTCTTTTTTTGTATAAAATGTGTTCAGTTTAGCTCCATGTTGCATGTATATTCCAAACATGTATATTCCAAACAGTTAAAAAACAATCCACTGGACTTTGTTTCCAAGTTTGAAGACGTTTCGCTTCCCATCCAGGAAGCTTTTTGAATTAGAAAATGTCAGAAATGGTGTTAAGTTCGAGGCTATATAGGGTGAACCAAAACGGAAAATGGATAGTTTTTTTTTTTATTTTTTTTTTTTTTACTTTTTTGATATGACTATGACCTGGATGACTGAGAATCTTCACCAGTTTGCATGTATAGTAACAAAGGGGGACTGATACCGTGTGCGTCAAGGTACTTCACCTCTGCAATCATCTGTTGGCAGTAAACATGAAAATAAAGACACAAGAGAATGAAGAGAGAGGTGCAATATCAAAGTTTCCATTTAGGAGAGGGGCCAAATGTTAAGAAAAGCCTTTCTGTGAAGGTGAGAAGACTTTCTCTAAAATTAGCCATGCAACTCTTTGGGAGGGCAGGCGACTGTTTCCAAAATAAGGAGCAAACGCAGAGGCTGTATCCAAAATCCCCTTGTTCTTTTTCTTCTGTGTTCGACAAAAACATTACAAACGTAGTCCCATGAAGTCCTCGTGAGCGCCTGCACCTTTTATTCTAGTCACTGTTATGCAGAAATATACGTGCAAACGACTCTATATGGGTGAGGATATTCTCATGTAGACTGATTCTAGTTTTGTTAATGCGTGGGAATCATTTATCCTTTTTAAAAGCTCATTTATTAAAAGCTATTGTTGATGTGTCTCCTCAGTAACATTCCTGTGGCTGTTTATTTTTCTGGCACACCTTCCTCTGTGAACTAGACACTGGTCGATCCAGCGGTTTGAGCCTTTCAGAGTTCGAGTGTCAGTAAATTTCATACTATTTATATAGAGCTGGGAATTTCATGTGACATGTGATTTACTGTAAAGGGAAGGTAGTGAAATAAAACTCTGCTGTGACAAAACATTCAGCAAATTCATCCATCTCATATTTACCCACAGTCGTCATGGTGGCTATGCAGTGATCCTATTCCTACATAACTATACAGAATATATATGTAGGTAAAAGCATCTGCAACTTTGTTTTATCTCTATTCTACGTATTACAGGTAATGAAAGTGACAAGTTGTATTTATTTGACAAATCTGCCTTCCAAATAATCAACTTCTTCAAGTAGTTTTACGTTACTTGTTTGTGAGTTATACCATCTTTAATGGCACTCTAACTTGAGTAAAATTTGTTTCACTATTCTACCCACCTTTGGTTAATTTACCAAATAAAGAAAAACCTTATTTAAGCACAAATGTGCCAAAGAAACACATGTATGCTATGTTAAATCTCTTTTTTTCACAGGAAACTCCATTGTTCTAGTTTTCTGCTGAACCTAATGTTCAGGTTAGAGGTAAAGTCAGTATACAGGAAACAGTTTATACCATAACTGGAAATTCTTTGTTGTGTTCCAACGTTCACATCGTTTTTTGGGTTTTTTTTTGCAGAAACTCATTGTACTTTTTTATTCTTATATTGGCCTTTATATTGGAGGAAAAGTTATTGTTTCTAACAGTAACCAGTACAGAATTATAAGTTAATTCTTTATTTTACATATCAATTATAAATTAAAAGTGACACTAATCTCACACGACTCTAATTTCTGGCAACACTACCCATCACAATAAATCGCAGAAAGCATAGAAACATTGAAAAATAAATTAACAGGTCTCCTGTGGAACCAACTACCAGTTTTAGTCCGTGAAGCAGACACCCTGTCTACTTTTAAGGGTAGGCTTAAAACTTTCCTTTTTGATAAAGCTTATACCGTAGTTAGAAGGGCTCAGGTTATCCTGAGCTATCTCTATAGTTATGCTTCTATAGGCTTAGACTTCTGGAGGACATAGGGATCACTATTTCATCATTCTGCTTCATTCTATCTCTATTCACCCACTTATCAGAATCTCTTAGTTCAATCTTTAACGTTATGCTCTCTCTGCTTTTTCTTATAGCAGCTTCATCTGGTCTGTTCCTGTTTGGCTGTGATACCACCATGGAGAGAAATATCAGCTGTGCTGCTGCCATTAACACCTTTGTTTATATACAGTATGTTGGAGATTGGCCTGTTTTTCAGTGTAGTCCTGTTTCTCTAACTGTTGCTGGCTGGATGTGCTCTCTTCCTCCTCTGACATGGGAGCTGGCTCGGAGCTCGTCTGCCTGGCTGTGTGTTTCCTGGACGGGGCCGCCTTTTACAGCTGTTTTTTGTATCTCTGCTTCTGTCTCCTTGAACCTCAGTCAGCCTCAGCAGATGGCCGCTCACACTGAGCCTGGTTCTGCTGGAGGTTTCTTCCTGTTAAAGGGGAGTTTTTCTTTCCACTGTCGCTACAGACATGCTTAGTGTGAGGGATTGTCTTCAAGTCAATGAGTCGATGCAATCAACTGGCTTTCTTTAGATAGAAAACTTTGAATCAGTTTGACTGTATGATCTGGTTGAACTGTAAAGTGCCTTGAGATGACGTGTTGTGAATTGGTGCTATGTAAATAAACTGAATTGAATTTCTTACAAATTAGCCTTTTCCTCTTTTAAGTCATCAAAGACAAACAACATTATTGCAGTGAGTTCTATTTTTGAGAAGATTTGTGTGTACTGCCCTGGACCTTTTACACAATGCAACAACAATAAAATGCCATTTTCTTTGAGATAAGAAGTAAGTATAAGTATTTTATACATTTTATACGTGTGTTAGAGAATATAAGTGAATGGTTTTGGTGTTATAGTTGACTATATAATAAACGGTGTATCTAAATGTGTGTCTAAATCATTGAATCCATCAAAGGATCTTTCTGATCATTTGTGTTTGCTTGAAATATTTGCCTCCAATATTATAATGAACATGTTGCTTAGAATTAAACCAAACTTCACAGAGATTCTTTTTTTTTTTACCTTATATTGTTTGAGCTCTATAGCAGCTTTTATTTGTACGAAATCAAACAGAGGCAATAAGTAAAACATCTGGTTGCATTATTTTCCTTTTCCTTTTATACTGGAATGTATCTAAAGTTTATACTTCCTTGATAAATCAAATTACATTTCCCGGAATACAAGAATCTGGTTTTTCCTCTGCTTTTAGTCAGCAGACGCCTCCTGTTGCCCCTATTTTCACCTGGAACAAACACAAAACCTTACAGGATTCTTTGAATTCTGCCTTTAGGTTTTCCACTCTGTGTCCAGCTGTTATAGTGTGACCTTGTATTTTCTTCTGCTAACCTACTTCTGAACTCCACCCAGCTTCATCTGGGCCTCATTGTTTCCTTCTTCCTTTATTCTGTTATTATTGTCGCCTTTATCTTTCTGTAGGATTTTCATTGAGTGTCTACATTCCAGTCTAATCCTCCTAGGTCACCTTTTTTACCTACTTAAAAACTGGTATATCAACTCTTTATGTTATTGTTTACTCCTGTTTATTTTATTTTTTTTCATTAACATCATTATGTTTTTTTGGAGGATTGTGTGTCACAATGGTGTAACAAAAATTAGAAACTTTTAAGCATTTACTGTTATTCTCTATGCCCTTATTACAGAATCAATAAAGAAAGTGTTTGACCTTAAAACGCATGTTTTTCTTCCTCTCTATTTACTGTCACAAATTTATTAAGGATCAATGAGAGCAAAGAACTACAGTGTGGAAAATAATTTTTTGAACACCCTGCGATTTTAGACCACCTCCTTAAAATCCACGGAGGAGGGTTCTGACATTTTCCTCTTCCATGCATGTCCTCTGTGAGAGGCACAATAAAAAAAAGTCCTGAAATAAAAATGTATTAATTAATTCATTTGTATGTTCCTGCTGCAAATATGTGAATAAACACCTGGCAATAAGCAAAAACTCTGGCCCACAAAGACCTGTTGGGCTGCCCCTAAAAGGTCCACCTCCACTCATTCTAAATTAGACGTGTTTGAGGTCGTTAGCTGGATAAAGACACCTCTCCACCCCACACACTAACATGGCTAAGACCAATGAGCTGTCCAAAGACACTATAGACAAAATGATAGACCTTTGCAATGCTGGAAATGCCTACAGGGATATTACCAAGCAGCTTTGTAAAAAAGATCAACTGTCAGTGCAGTCATTCAAAAAATGTAAGAAGTTAAGCATGACTGTGAACCCCCCTCCGACTGGGTAACAATGATCCTACTGTAAGCACAGCCAGGATAACCGAGGAGTTACTCTGTACGAAAGATATGAAGGTTCTGGTGCACCTGAGCAAGTCTCCAGACCTAAACTCTTTGAAGGGAGCTCAAACTCCATGTTTCTCAGCAACATCCCAGAAATCTGAGTGATCCAGAGAAGATCTGTGTGGAGGAATGGGCCAAAATCCCTGCTGTAGTGCAACCCTGGGGAAAAACTACAGGAGATGTTTGACCTCTGTAATTGTAAACAAAGGCTATTGTGTCAAAAGTGTTAAAATACTAATTTGCTTCATTGACAATCAAATAAATTATTTCAAAAATCATATGTTATGATTTCTGGAATTTTTTTTTTATCATGTGTCGAACGGTGGACATGAAGACCCCTGCATGATATGTTAGTCGGAGAATTAGCAAAATTGCAGGGAAAATGCTTATATTCCTTAGTGTATT